GTGAGTGTAGATCTCGGTGGTCGCCGTATCATTAAAAAAATTACATGGTCTTTATATTAAAAAAAAAAAAAAAAGGGTATGTAAAATAAAAAAAAACTTTATTTTGTTAAAAATCAATTTGTATTTAACTTTAAATTTATTATAGAATTCATCAAAAGGGGTTATTGATATTGGAAGTAATGGTATTCGGTTTGGTTTAGTCTCTTCATTGAACAGACATTTACCAATTCTTTATGAAGAACGTGCTCCCATTTCACTATTTGAAGCACAACATTCTTCTAAATCTGAGGAGAAATCTAATATACCAGAAAACATAATACGCAATGTAGAAAATACTATGAAAAGATTTAATTACATGTGTACAAGCTATGGTGTGAAAATTGATGATGTTACTATTGTAGCCACTGAAGCAACTCGTACTGCGCCTAATAGTATAGAGTTTTGTGAGAGAATAGAAAAATCATTTCAAAAACCTGTTCTAATATTAGACAAAGAAAAAGAGGCTATAGTTTCTGGAAATGGCATTGCGGCAACTTATAATGGCGTAGAAGGTCTAGTTATGGATATGGGTGGTGGATCCGTAGAATTAAGCTATTTGAAATTTGATCGAAAAACTGCCGAATTCAAAATATCAGATGCACCAATAAATCTTCCTTATGGTGCTGCTGCTTTAACAAAATTATTAAAACAGAATAATACACCCGAAAAACTTTCTAAATTATCAAATCAAATCGTAGAAGATTTGAAAAAAGGGTTTGTGAATTTAGGTGCCCCTGAAGATATCAAAGTTAATGGAAAATTTACTGTTTATATGAGTGGTGGTGGATTTCGTTCTCTAGGTTATTTGTGTATGTCAGAGAGTGAATCTGATTCTGGTAGCAAATATTCTTATCCAATCCCAATAATCAATGGTTTCTTTACATCCTCTGAGAAATTGAAAAAAGTTATAGAACCCCTCACACCATCAGAACAAATAGAATTTAAAACATCACCAGAAGCAATATTTCCTAATGGAAATCCATTTCGTATCAGTAACAGACGTGCTAAATTAATGCCAGCATGCTGTTTCTTAATAAATGCTATAATGAAATGCATTGATATTGGTGATATTTATTTTTGTGAAGGTGGCGTACGTCAAGGAATGTGCTTTCAAATGATGGACAAAGAAATTCAAAAATTAGATCCATTAGAAACCTTTATTGAGACACATCCATTACAAACTGAACATATTAAACATAACACCTGTCAGGTACTAGATATTTTGAAAAGTTCCATACCAGAGAAATTTTATGAAATACTCGATTCTGATGTTACTGGTAATAATAAACCAGAAAGACTCGAACGTCTTCTTCCTAGTATTATCTCACTATCACAATGGTCAATGAACCTTGCAAAAGAAGCACGTCCAATCAGCGGTTTTACTTTGCCACTTGCGGGTGGACCACTTTGTAACACTCCCGGATTAACCCACGTTGACAGAGCAATCATATCATGGTGTTTGATGTATAGATATTTTGATGACGCAAATGGTGACGTAGAAAAAAATATTAGTGTGATGGAACCTAGTTTATATATGGGTATAAAAAATATGATTCCTGGTGGAAAGAATGGTAGAAAAGTTTGTGAATTCATTGGAAAATTACTTGGATTTATTATTTTATGTGCACCAGTTACTAAACCAGTAACTGATCCTACAGGCTGCTCAGTAAGCCAATTAATTAAAATTAAATTAAAAAAACCAGTCCATACATATGAAAATTTTATAGCAGAAACTATTAAAGTATCATTTCCAGATTCTGATAAATTATTTCTTGTCGAA